AGAATAGAATAGAATAGAATAGAATAGAATAGAATAGAATAGAATAGAATAGAATAGAATAGAATAGAATAGAATAGAATAGAATAGAATAGAATAGGAGCATAATAAAGACACTGCTGTTAAGATCCCTGTCTTCCTGTAGTTTTTAAGCACCAACCCCCAAGGATGTGCTCCAGAGGTTTCTGTAATGGCTTTTTCCCACTTACCGGGCAGAACTGAAAACATGGAATGAAATGAGTGCTGCCTGGGCTATTAAGCAGGTGTTATCACTGAAGGACCAAAGCTACATTTCAGGCTTCCTGGTCCTGCTGAGCAAGAGATCTTGGAAGAGATCTTTGTCATGAGATRCATGCAAAACCACCAGCTCACAGCAAGCATGGTCATCCCATTAGAAAAGGGCTGATTTTTCTTTTGGGTTCTGATGGAGCTTAAAAGAGCTCAGGTTCAGATTCTGGTGTYTTTTTTTCTTTCAAAGGTGGGAAGACTGCTGTCATGAACACTTTATAGAATAATACTTAAACTTCATGTTATTTCATCTTTCTTGCACTGCAAAACAGGAGTGGAATAGATTTTTGTTGAGCTTGTGCTCCCTCTCCTGGAAAGCRACTTCTACAGCAACAGCAAAAACCGAGGAGGTTTATCCAGAGCACTGAGTATGGTAGAGAAAGCCATCAGTCCACCCCATCTCCTCCCACACTTCAGTCCCTGGAAGGAAAAAGCTTATAGGCTCTTCATAGTTCTCTAAAGTCAGCTTTGTGATACTTTTTTTGTGCATTTTTGCCTCCTTTTAGCATCCTTCTCTTTCTCCAGTGCCAGGCAGGAGYGTGGCAGCATCTCTGGTCAGCTGTCAGCATTCTGCAGTTGTCTTCTCAAACATTTCTGGCAGTGGTTAGAGATGGGCACCGAGGCATGTGCTTTGTGCTCTTACCCCAGCTGGAATGTCTGCATCTTCATGTGTGGGGCTAGGAGAGCACACATTGTGGATATGAAATTAGGGTCCAGAGTTTACATTCTCACTCATGAGGGTTGGAAGTAAAATGTAACTGAAGTCATTTTCTGATCCAAGTTGAGCAGTATCCCTTCAGTCAGCCAGGCAAAAGAAAGTTGCTCTAGTAGGGAGTATCCATGTGGTTTCTCAACTCATCTTCTGCCATCAGGCTTGCAGATTGSTCCTCAGTCCTGTTCCTTGGGATTTCTTAAATGCAGAGGTTAGAAGGAGCACTACATTGCTGTGGTACATATCAGCATAAGGCTGCACCTTCCTGGGTTCCTCACAAAAGACTTCTTGACTCTTGCAGAAAATCTTGAAAATTTTGAAATGTCAGGATAAGTAAAAGCCAATCGGTGTTTCTTGCAGGAAAAAAAGAAGAAAAAAAAGGGAAAAAAACTCACAAAGGCACAGATTTCTAAAAACCTCTGAGACTAGAACTGCTTGTCTTTGAGTTTGTCATTATCCGGAAAAGCAAGGAAAAGACACCAGTATTTGGGCTTCAGTAAGGCTTTTCATGCAGTCTCTCACAGTATCCTTCTGGACCAAATGCCCAGCACACAGCTGCATAACCATGTGATGGGTGAGCAACCAGCTCACAGATCAGGCACAAAAAATGACAGGGTGACATCAGGCTGGCATCTGGTCGCTGGTGAGGTTCCACAGGGCTCCATCCTTGGCCCACTTCCCATCAAAATTTTCAGTAATGACTTGGACATGGAACTTGAAGGAATATTAAGTAAGTTCGAAGATAATACTAAATTGTGAGGGTAGACAGGTCCTTCAGAGAGACCCTGACAAAGTAGAGAGCTGGGCAATCACCARCCATATCRAGTTTAACAAGGACAYGTGCCAGCTTCTGACCTGGARTGGGGCAACCCTGGTTGTGTGTACAGGATGGGGAATGAGGGGCTGGAGAGCAGTGTCATGGAAAGGGACCTGGGGRTCCTGGTCRATGGCAAGGTGRACATGAGCCAGCAGTGCCCTGGCAGCCAGGAGGGCCARCCRTGTCCTGGGGGGCATCAGGCACAGCCAGGCAAGGGAGGGGATTGTCCCACTCTGCTCTGCACTGGGGTGGCCTCACCTCTGTGAGTGCTGGGGCCAGCTTTGGGTGCCACAATATAAACAAAACATTGAACTCTTAGAAAGTGTCCAAASGAGSGCSATGAGGATGGTGAAGAGCCTTGARRTRAAGCCRTGTGAGGAGKGGCWGAGGTCACTYGGTCTGTTCAGCCTGGAGGAGACTGAGGGGAGACSTCACTGCAGTTGTAACTTCCTCACGAGGGGAAGAAAAGGAAGCTCATGTTGCTGCATGAKCCTGGTTCACTCACCAATCTCTWCACTCTTGTGAGCAGTGACAGGACCTGAGGGAATGGCCTGAAGCTGAGTTCAGAGGAGGCTGAATATYAGGAAAAGATTCCTCACCCAGAGGGTGGTCAGGCACTGGAATAGGCTCCCCAGGGAARTGRTCACAGCACCAAGCCTTGTCTGATTTCAAGAAGCATTTGGACAATGCTCTCAGGCACAGGGTGTGATTCTTGGGGTGTTCTCTGCAGGTCCAGGAGTTGGACTCRATGATCCTTGTGGGTCCCTTCCAGCTCAGCATTTTCTACAATTCTATGACTCTATAATAAATGAGACGATATTTAAAAACAAGCATTGAATGTAAACTGGCTGGTTTTACAGTCATGAGGAGAATGGCCATGAGTAAACAGTCCGCGAAAAAGGCTTTAAACAGCATTTCCTTCAGGAGTTCAGAGTACAATCACTTTTGTTATTCWGTATTTGTATTTTTCCTTCTTCCATTTATCCTCTTGTACCAGAATGATGCATGTCCATTCCTCACATTCTTTTCTATTTTTCCTGTTTTCTAGGAGAAAAAGATGTAATAATCCTTGGCGATTTTAACCAGGCCCCAGACAGCAGTGACCATGACATTCTGAGGAAGGAGAAGTTCCACCACCTGGTCCCTTCCAGCACCTTCACCAACATCAGCACAAAGAACCCACAAGGGTCCAAGTCGCTGGATAACATCTGGATCAGCCGGAGCYTGAAGAAGGTTTTCACAGGTAAGGAAGCAGGAGTGAGGTTGTGTAATCCTTAGTCAGGGTAGCACCGTGTGTCTCGTTGGGCACCATCACTCAACTTTTCCTCTGTGATCTCTTTGCTGCAGGTCACTGGGCTGTCGTGCGAGAAGGGCTCACAAACCCATGGATCCCCGATAACTGGTCCTGGGGYGGGGTGGCTTCAGAGCACTGCCCCGTGCTGGCAGAATTTTACCTGGAGAAGGACTGGAACAGGAAGGAGGTGACGCGGAACGGGAACGGGGTGACGGTGGAACGTAACGACTCCCACACAAAGCAYGAACGATGACGTGAACTTGCGGGTGCCTCTTGTGCCACCCAGGGAAGGCTCTGGTCACTCATGACCCCACAGCAGAGCAGGACTGCCCTCTCCTCTCCCGCCTTCCTGCTCTCCTCCCTGCACCTGGAAAGCATCAGCACTTGATTTTGGTGGTCCTGGCTTTGTGCCCTTTCTGGRCAGTTCTGGACAGAGTCTCATGGCAGCAGAACAGTCTGCAACTTTTTCCAGGGACACAGTGGACATTTCTATACCTGGAGATTTGGATGAGAATTGTACAGAAAATAAAGTGTACTTTTAATACTGTACAGGATCTTTGCTAAAATGCAGCGGAGCAGGGTTTTACTGGGGGGGTTGATAGCATTTTTCCTTTGCCTCTTTGTAAATTGAGGTACTAAGAGAGGCCCCAAAAAGAGAGACACAGTGGAAATTCTTGGCATGTTGCAAATGCCATTCAACGCTTGCAAAAGCTGCTGGAGCTAATCCCTATGTGACCTGCAGTGAGATCTGAGTGGTCCCTCTGTTCCAGCCTGAAGAGACACCCTTCCTCCTTAGCCTCACATAGGCACCCTTCATCCTTTCCTTCCTTATGCTCCTGGCAGAGCCATTTTGCCCCAGAATAGGTTCCTGGAGCTTGGCTTTGTCTTTTTGATTGGTGCAATGTCCAGTGTTGGGTTTTCTTCCCACACAATAGTTTTCAGGAGCTGGCAAACCACCAACTTGTACAACTCTTCTGCATAGCCAGGCTCACTTCTCCAGTGTCCTTTGCCTTGCTCCCTGTTGGGGATCTCCCAGGAGCGGCCCTTGTCCTCTGGCCTTGCAGCTGTCATCAGTGAGGTGTAGCCATGGGGCTCTGTCTAGGTCTGAGCAGGGCTCTGTGTCGGGGAGAGACAGGCAGAGCCTCCCACTCCCATCACTGGGAGGTCTATAGGTGAGCCCATATTGATGTGATCACTGCAGGGGCTGACCCACATCATGCAYTGACCTCTGCCCATTGACTTTTTAGGGGGGTTCAGTTTCTCCCTCTCCCTGACAGACCTGCATCCCTTCCTGAGCCTCATTGTGCATGAACCTGGTTCACACAGGGGGTCTGAACACWGCATGTGGTTGTTGTGCATATGGGGCCATATCCAAGGAGATTTGGGTGCTGTGCATGTCCTGGGTGGGGGTGCTTCAGTCAGTGCCCTGCCCCAGCTGTGCCGGGAATGGAGCGTTGAATTGGCCACCTACGTGGGGTTTTTTTCATGCAGCAATTCATAACCAGTGGCCTAGAAGGGAAACACTGGAAAAAGCAATTCAGAGATAGGCTGCAAAAGAGATAGGCTGAGTGTGAAAGGCGCTGAGCTGCCACTAACCCAGGGCCTGCTGCTCCAGGCTGCACATGACCACACATTTTGCTGCTGAGTGGAAAGGAAAGTTGTCTGGCATGACTCACTACTCTTGACAGTGATGCCACACCAAAGGAGATGTTGAAACTGAGAGTTTTAGAACAGAACAGTATCATATTCTTGCAGTATTTTTATTACTTTAACTTTCTGAGATATCACCTCATTTCTAATGACTCAATCATAACTAATTTCTCAACAGCTAAATAAATTCCCATGCAAACACACACAGTTGAAAACTTTYCTGTCTGTGTGCAAAACTAAGCCTCCCAAAAAAGGTGGCAGATCCTGGGGGTGACTCTCAGACTGAGGGAGATTTCATAGATGTTTCAAGAGGTTAAGTGAATGACTAAGAGCTCAGAGCTTCAGACCAAAAATGTATCTTCAGTTGCTCAGCATTCCCTGTTGAAAATGGGAGGTGCAGGTACTTATCTCTGGTCATTAAACTAGCCGAAGACCTTGGRTCCAGACTTCATTCTGGWTCCTTGCTAATGGTTTGTCCTTTTYAATCAGGCACAGGTTTGCTCCCCTCTTTTGATCTGAGCAGCAGCAGATTCCCCAAGAAACTCTCAGTGGATGACTGCAAAATATAGGTGAAGATGCAATAGAGTTGCCTTAGTCAAATGAATATTACATGAGGTGAGAAGCAGTTAAATTCCCAAGAACAAACTCTCTTGTACCAGCTAGTGTTTCTCTGCTATAAATATGYTGGGAGGCTGAAATTATTTTATAGCTCTGGAAATAAAACTTACAAAGGCTGGATTCTGTTTATTCTGCTGCGGGTGTAAATAAATGCAGAGGCACCAAAGCCTGGAGAGCACCTGCAGCCTCCTGCGTGGGTGATGGTGCTTACAGCTGCAGCAGGGGCCCTTGCATTGCCTGATGAGTTCTCTGTTAGCAGGGGCTGCTGGTGTGAAAGAGCTGAGCCACCTTCATAACCCATGTATGAGCTGTAGGGAAAGGTAATGAGGTTGCTGTGTAGCCTGGAGGTTCCTCAGCCCAGTGGAGAGCTCTGGAAAGGTGACTACTCGATGGACAAAAAGGCACCTTGGAGTAAGATGGGCGCTACGAGGTCAGAGGAGGAAGATGCCGGAGTTGGACGCCTACAGGTGGAATTCTGCCTTGCATGGAGAATCTGTATCAGGTATGTGCCTGGCTGCTTTGTGTTGGCAGTCAGCAGTGCYTCATGTGGTATCACTGGTTTAAAAAAGCTTTCTTTGTTTGCTTTTTTTGTGACAACCCTGGAGGAGGATGAGGTGGTTTTGAGTGTGATGGATTTTGGAGTTCACTAAGTATCTGTCGTGTGATAGTTCTTCAGAAGCTGAAGTGGTGGCTGTGTTCCTCCTGCCCCTGCAGGAGCAAACCTGAACAGCAATTTTATTTCAAGGTGCCCCTAGTGGAAGCTCTGCCGGCCCAGCTGGCTGGGGCTTTATTGCCCAGGCAGTGCCAAGGAAGGCAGCAACTAAGGTGGGGATACAGAAGCAGTGAGTGTTTCTTACAGAAGGCTGGATGCACCTTACAAATCTTGGGATCTCCTCAGGAGCCTAAATTTTGTGAGGCAGGGTCCTGCTTCATTAGTGATGTCACCAATGGCTACAGACTGATTTGGCCCAGATTTAATTTTTTGTAGGGCCATTTATCTCATCTGTGCAAAGTGAAGATTTTGGAGCTTTTCCCTGCATTTATCTCATCTGTGCAAAGTGAAGATTTTGGAGCTTTTCCCTGCCCATTGCACATGGAACTTTGGCCACTTCCTCACAACAAAGGGCTGCCTGTGGTCTCCTGCTGACACATGCCAGCTTGGGGACATGGTGACAGCTGATGCACAGCACATGGTCCCTGTGGTGGCTGTAGTTGGTGAGACCTCACAGTGGTGGCTTCTGTCAGGAGAGGAAGCTCCTGGACAAGTGTGAATTTTTAACCTTTTAGCTGGAAAAAGCTTAGAGCAGTACCCAGCTCACCAAGGCTGAGGGGGCCATGTCTAGTGTTTGGTCTCTTTGCTCCTCACAATGAAAACTTTTAAATTATTCTCAGCCAAATCATTCTCCTTTCCTATTTGCTCTGACCCATTTACTTCGTGGAAAAGCCTCTGCTTTGTCCCATGGGCTTTTTAAAAGAACTTCCTTAGCAAATGTCCATTTGGTCACTTGGCTTTGCAGCGTTGCTGCACTGCAGTGTTGCAGGCCAACTGAAAAAAAGGATTTATGATATAGGAGAGTTTGGAGAGTTGCTAAAAACCTCTGAGGAGCAAACACAAGTAAATAACTGTCCTGGAGATGAAYTTCCAAGAACCAGGTTGTGGCAGCAGTAGGATGATAAATTCTTGTGCAGCAGGCAGGGGTGGAGGCTTGGCTGCACGAGGTAATCAGMCTTGGTCTTGGCACTCTTGAGCCCTCGTGCGAGTCCATGCTCAGCAGTCCCAGAAAATTACAGAAAAGGGTCAGTCCAGRGGACTCCAAGGTTTTCCTAGACATCTAAATGTCACCATATAAGATTGAATTGATTTTTGGTTTTAAAGCTGCTGTCTTGAAGGAGCATGCTGGCCACGAGCAGGAGCCAGATGCACAGGAAGCAGACTCCTGGGACAGCAGCTGCTGTTCCCTGGGAGCATGTCARGTCATAAATTCAAGCACTCAGAAATTAGATGGAAATGTCCCATATTTAGGTTGTGAGTTTTCCTTAGCTGCAGGAAGCAAGGCAAAGGCATGCAGGCATTTCCTGGCCTCTGACTTTCCTTCCAGATTTCACACTTTTGTACAGAGTTTCTAGATGGGAAAAAACTTTAAAAGAGGCTTATGTTCTTTGTTTTTCCCAGGGAAAATGCAAAGTTCTCCCCCATGCGAGGAGTCATGTTGACTGTGAATCAGGGCTCTTGTGGGAAACAGCCTGCAGCAGCTTTTTTCATCCCCAGAAGAGACACAGCAGTGGGTTTCTGTGAATTGGCTGCTCTCAGGGAGGCTGGAGGGCCATGCCAGCAGACTGCACAGCTCTCAGTGTCACCACTCAGCAGTTCTGGGCTGCATCCCATGTTCCACAGAGCAGGATGTCACCACAATTGCAGACAGAGCTCTTGTCAGCTTACTTGCTTTTTTGATTTTTAAGCCTTAAGTAATTTTTACCTCCATATCTGGAATTAAAAGAAGCTCCTTTGTAAAATCAAAAYGGCTTAAATTATTTACTCCCAAGTACCTACAGGTTACGTGTTCACTTAGGAAAYATGTGGCTGGATGACTCTTTGATGACCTGTTCTTCCGGCCATCTCATAACCCTGCATGATGGGATGTTCCCAGCCTGAGCGACGTCCAAATGTRTCTCTCTTTATCAGCTGTGTGAAAGGTCTCATTTGAAAAAGAAAATAAATGATGGAATGTGCAAAGACCTGAACTGCAGCATTGCTCAGACTTTATGTGGAAACACAAGGAGCACCAGCACCAGGCACTTTCCCAYCAGTTTTTAGGGAGTGGTCTTCAGGAAAGCTCTTCTTTCTTCAGATCTTCTTTATCCCTGGTCATGCTGTAGACAGGAGAGGCCACCTTGCAGCTGGATGGTCACTTCACATCCCCCTCTTCTTATGCCTTGAAGTTCTTGGGCTCCACAAAGGTCACTTACATATATGCCTGGCTGGGCACTGCTGAATCCTTGTGCACCCTCCTTTGGGGAARCCTTCACTGATCCCTTCAAATGTAGGACCATTGCTCCTCTTACTGACCGAGCACTTTTGGAGTCATGCTACTCTTTGAATCTCTTTGTGAGGTTTCCCCAGCAGCTTTAAAGGGACTTCTCACCCCGTTCTCATCCACCCAAGTGCTCCTTGGGTCAGGAAGCTGCTGGAGGAGGAACACTTGTGCTATGTTTGCTCTCTGCCTGGGGGAAGTGTGGAGGAGTGTGTGGAGACTCAAAGGATGGCAGCTGAAACACATTGTGCTTTTCCCTGTCTGTCACCTCTGGAACAGGGACAGCAGTGCACCTGTTTGTTAGCATCATCTTGTTCTTTATGCACAGAAATGTGCCTGAAAGCTGTAAAGGAAGATCAAAAATGCAGGGACTTCAGCTTTAAAATGCTGCCAGGAGGGGAGGAAGAAGTTGGCTCGCAAATCACCTGGGGATTTTTTGGTGGGTGGGAGTGAATTTACTTTCTAGGCTAGGAGATTCATTATATGGTAGTGAATTGTATTCCTTAGATAAAAAGGAATGTGAAGGATTCAAGGATTYAAAAAACTCAGCCTGAGGGATGAGTGCTAAGGGCCAGGACAGAAGTCAAACAGGGGAAATAAGCCAGTAAGCTGGAGAAAACAGCCTGACAGGTGTCTTGCTTGGAATGTGGCATGGGATGGAAATTGTGCAATAAACATGACCCTCCAAGTGCCATTTTCAGGGCACTGCTGTGTTGGAGTAGCTGTGCAGTAGAATCACAGAGCCCTTGTGGAGAAGGTCCCTGTGGGAGGTGCCCACGCTGCTCTGACCCTGCAGCATGAGAGCAGGACTGCGGCCTCGTGCCAGCCCCTCCTGTGCCACCATCTGCCTTTCTTCTGCCACTGATGTTTTYAGGAATTTTTTTCAGGAATCTTTTCTTTCAAAACCATGTCTGTTCAACTCAATCCTACTCATCCTTGAGAGCTCTGTCTGGGCTCTCTACCCCTGCTTTTTCCTTCTTCACATAGCAGCCAGTGCAGTTCTAACATCAGCCTCAGTTTTCTCGCTATCTAAATTTAGTGAAGAAAATAATACAATAAATAATATAAGAAAATAATAAAAAGAAAATAATGGTGTGCTTCAGCCTGCATCTACATAGACACCTCAGGAAAAGGTGTTTCAAGTGTCTCAGAGGCATTGTGCAATCGGGGAAGACAGAAAATATTTCAGCAGTAGCACAAAAAAATGATTTAGACAACTTCAATGGGAAAGGTAAGGCTATGMCTTAAAAGGGAATCCTGATGACATCTTCTTGTAATTGACTCAATGTAAATGAAAGGGTTTAAAATTCAATATCCAGATTTTCTGGATTTAGTCTAATATARAATTCCAGTTGCAAGAAGTCCGTAATTTTTCAACAAAGCCAAAATAGTCTCCCTTCTGTATTCCAGAGACAAATGATCTCATTTTAAACTGCATACTGAAAAAAAAACCCTCAAACTAAATTTTCAGTTATTATGAAAATTATTAAGACACTTTGAAATGAATATTCTCTTWAAAAACCCAAACTAAATGAACCAGTAAAATAAATAAATAAATATTAAAAAAACAAACAACAAACAACCAAACAAAAAAATTGTTCCAGCTGTTTCCTTTTGCCTCTCTCTTGGCTTAGACAAAGTCTCTCTCAGCTTCCACTCTGACTCACAGGTTGCCAGATTTCCATCCTGGTGTCTAGTATTTCCACCTTTCCCTCCTTTCAGAGAACCTTGGTGCTTAGGTTGCCTCTGGAACTGCTGGCRGGGTATCCAGATTCACAAGCCTGGCACTTYGAGTGCTGCARAAAAGCTTTCAGAGCTGTATTAGTYCTGCAGATCACCTGTAASACATGTGAGATTTATTCAGTACTGAATAAATTCAGTACTAAATAAATTTATTCAGTACTGAATAAATAAATAGTACCTGCCCAGAGGGGATGGCTGAGGGTTGTATTTCCCTCTGCTGATGCTGTAGGAGGGGTATCTGGGATGCACTGGACAAGAGAGAACAGTGGTGATTTGGGAGCCTAGGGAGGGAACCCATTTCAGGCCATATTTTCCAAACTCTCTGGGAAGGTGAATATGGTGTTATAATACTTAGCAGTCTTGMAAGGCAAATCAGCAATTGACTTCTMAATTATTYCCATTAAAAAKAACCTACAACACTTAAATGTTATCCTTGCTTATACATGAGGGAGCTGAGCCATAAGGAGATCACGGGACTCCCTAGAGATAAGAAAGCACATTTTATACTGTGAGAGGGACAGGGAGAGCTGAAATGTAGCAGCAGAGCACAGGGGGTGGATCAAAATATTCAAATGGAACATTCGGAGTTGCCATTTCCTGCATGGATTGTACTGGGAATTGCATCATTGCAAAGAGATTCCAAAGCTGCCTCAGACCATATCCTAGAAAAAGRGAGGATGATTTCCTCATGAGCAGCCAGGTCTTCTGACTGAGCAGGGAGAGCCATACYCAGTGTAAGGCTTCAAAAGACCTTCATGACCCAACCCCAGGGGATGATTTTGAAAACAGAGTCAGAGAGGCACCTTTTCCATACACGAGATAGGATGTCCAAGGTGCCGTAGAGCTGAGGCCATTGGAGAGGGTAACGCTCTCACACATCACAATGTAACACTGCAGTACACTTGTCTCTCATTATTTTGTCTTTATTTGTAAAAGTTGTATAAAATKCCTTTTCAAAATTGGTCTGGTGAAACAGGGAGGTTTTTCCAATGTCGACCAGGTTTCTGTATAGGAATAACGTAGCAAGACATAGGTACACAACAAAACAACCAGGCCAGGCAGCAGGAGAGGCTGCCAACACAGCACTGACACCATGAAAATACGCAGTGACGTGAGCTCACCACTGCTCACCACTGCTGTCCACACACTCTACCACAGAACTTCAGTATCACGACTCAGTAACCACCCTTTCCACAGTGAAAAACAAAAACTCGGGAAAATTTACAAAAAACTACACTTCAAAATTTGAAACATTTTTATAAAGGAGGAATGACACTTCTGATGCCAAAACCAGAAGCTGACAGCTTCGCCTATTGCTACATATCGGTATTGACCACTTCCAGACTCCAAACTTTGCACAAGGCAAATCTGTTCCTAGAACAATGAAGAATGGAAGTTTAATGGCACCTACTGCTTTGCAAAATAAGGTGATGCAGATCTTCAAGTAAAGCAAAAAGGCCTGTAATAGAGTTTAGGGCTACAGAGTGGTAAAAGAGTCAGGCCTGCAGGGTGGCATTTTGTGGCAAAGTAGGGTGACTCGCACAGCCTCCTGGTTTTGAGGACACATTATGCACGTGCACTTAGRTTATAAGATGCTACTACTGCACGAGGAGGAAAACCACTTTGCTTAAGTAGAAGTCACAGGAGAAAGGCAGGGATCTGTCCTGTCAGAATAAAATCAGTTCAAAATTGTTCCTTTCTTAAAGGACAGTCCCTTTTGAGAACCCCAGGGTCAGCAAAATGAGCCAGATTTTTCCACGGTGTGACTCAAACAGTGTTTACTGTCCTGTTTACTCCAAAGACAGTTTTTGGCTGTAATCCTTGGCTTGACTTCAGTCACACGTGGCTTTCTTGCTGTTTCTGGCAAAGGAGCCAAAACCTGGAGAATGTGTGTGTGACTGACTGCAAATGGTTCCTGYCAGGCTGCTGCAACACCGTGTCTGCCCTGCACAGCTCTGAAACAAAGCTGGGCAGGCAAAGTCACCAGTGTCAAACCAGACAGCCCGAAGTGGGGAAGAGCGAAAACACAGCTTTTATTTCAGCACAGAGAGGCTGAAATGCTTTCAGCTCCTGCACAATACTGAGAACGCAAAACTAAGGCTGCTGCACAGTTCTCAGTCCCTGCCTTGAAAATAACTAAATTTAGTAAATTTATTCTGTTGAATGCGTTTTCTTTTTTGCAGCATCCARCCACTCCAAACAACCTGTAATAGTATCTGAAAGGCAGCTGCTTCTATGGAATTATTCCTAAACCTTCAGACCTYTCAGCCAACCAGCAGCTTTTCCTCACAGATTTTCCTACGGATCAGAAAATATGTTTTCAAGATTCTGCTGTAATGTCTGGTAATGTCCTGGGTGTAAAATAAGGTGGAGAGTTATTCCATTTGTTTCATTCAAGAACAGGCTAAGTGGGGGAGGATACTGTGTCTCAGGTCCATGCAAATGTGGCGTGGAGGAAACCTTGGCTTAATCTACTCCCCTTATCCCATRCCAGGCCTGTTAGCAGTGGGCAAAAGCAGCAGGGTAAGAAAGGGCAGAAGCCCTGTCCAAAGGTCCCACTGCTCCTCCCAACCTCTCTGACCACAGCTGCTTCCCAGGAGCTCAGAGGAGTCCTTGTAAAATGTTGTCTACTAAAACAAAATCCTTTGTCAGAATACTTGTATGCTTTGCCTCAACAATTCCATAATACTCCGGAATCAAGAAATGTGGTTTATGCATCAAATCCTCCTGCATCATCTAAGTTATTTATCACGTGACTAGAGAAAGCTCCTTGCTGTAAGGGGCTTTCTCTCCTTGGTCCTGGATATAGCACCAACAGTTAGAACAGAGGTAAAGTTGCTTCAGAGCAGTGCAGCACTTCTGCTGGAACACAGGAATAGGGCACTTGAGAGTTGTCTTCTCTCCCCCAGTCACATCTTGTTTTTGAAACGAGCTCTGCAAGCTCAAGCTTGCTGTAGGGTGGGGACACTGCTCAAAAATGTGACCTGATCCTCTGCAGGCTCAGGTGACCCAACRAAGAAGGGAGTGTTGCCTGCTGTGCTGGATCGTGGCCCTGTGTTCCTGAATTTATTTAGAACCATAGGTCATGAAATCACAGTTTTGCTCGATCCTCCTTCCAAAACACTGCCATGCTGAATTTCCTAGACATGCTAGGCTTGTCCTCAAAGGAGCGAGGCCCTTTCCAGAATTCAGCTTCCTGAAACATGTACTATACACATAAGGATGTGGAACRGAGTAACTTTTTGAGGGAATGAAGGGGAAAGCTTTGCTACCCTCTTACAGTCATTGAAACAGCAATACCTTCCTTTTTTCCTCATTTTTAAAAAAAGCTAATTCTCTCACTAAAAAAACACCCTGAAACTTTTTGTGTTGTTATGGACTTGAATCCTGTGGCACAAAGACCTGCTTCTGTGCACTGTTTTTAAACTTTCTGTTTTCATTGCAATGATGACTAAATGGGGAAGTTATGCAGACAGCAACKCAGCATAATCTACAGCAGTTCTATCACTATGAACCGTGACAGCTATGACCAAAGATAAGGCAAACAAAAGTGAACTAAGGAGGAATTTTCTCCTCTTTCTCCTTTCCCCCACCTCTAAACCTGGGTGGGAAGAGGCAATATATTACAAGAGACAGCACCAAGCACTATACCAAGCATACAAAACAGAGTAGATGATCAGACAGATCCACTGCAGAGGAATTTCTAAGCCAAATTTTACAAAAATGCACAATCCCTTTAAAAAGTAAGCAATATACAATCACAATGCAAAAGGACATAAAGGGGCTTTTTCTGAATTCAGCATATTYTGGCCACTCTTCCCTCCCATTCCTCATAAGTCCCTCTTTGCAAGCTCTGGGAAGTCCAGCTCTACATCGTCACACAGTAAGTGAATGATGTTCTAATATTATTAATTTATGAGATCCTGGAGCTCCTCGTCCGTCAGTTCATTGACTTCCATGATTTTTTTCAAATGTTCCATGTACCGGGCATGGTCTTGCAAAAAGTGTGGCACCCTCATGTTCTCAATCACAGCTAATCCTTTCAGGCGATCCACATCCTCGTATGAGATCTGTAAGGAAGGACATGGGTCAATTAGCAATACTTTCCTGTTGCTTCTCTGCTGTTGCTACAAATTCCCTCCTGTAAATGACAAAATATTTCAGAGCAGGGGAATTTAAAAACTTGGAGAATCCTTTGGAAACATGAGCAACTGTGTGCTTCAGTGGAAGATGCAAAAARAGCATAATTTTAGCAGACGCCTTCATAATTCCTGATTCAGCTTTTGATTCAATCAGTAAACAGACTTGCAGGAATGTGAATGAGAATCATCTACAGCAGCTGCAGGAATAGAGAGGAAAAGGATGGAGCTCATGTGAATTCTGGAATATCTTCTCAACAAGGCTGAAAGATTTACATGAGAATGGAAAAAATACTCTGCAAAAGACTGAGGAACTAGAAAGGAGTGCAGAACAGGCATGACACAGGAAGCAGTCTTTGGGAAATGCATGGTGCCAGCTGACCTGAACTCTGCTGTTCCATTTTCACTGGCAAATGTGCTTATGCTAAGCTAAATTAAAATACACCTCTAGTAACTAACTACATAATGAACCATACTTAAGTACCCCAATTTTAGGTTTTTTGTTTTCCTCATTCAATAGCAGGGTAGAGACTGGGTGTACCTCGTGGCCTCGGAGCCTTCTGGGTATTGGTGCCAAACTCTCAAATGTTTTCCAGCTATTACAGGACCTGATAGCTTTTTTTTTTTTTTTTTCCTTAGGAAAATGGATATTTTTATTTTCATAGTCTTATGATTCTAGAAGCTAGGACTTCTAATCACAGTAGTTCAAGCTGCTGTAAATGATAGTCCAGAAAGGATGAATGCTTTGGCTAGGCACATGAGCACAGAGCAGGACTCCTTGGGCAGCTGTCCAGTGTGATGAAATTTGTGTGGTTGTTGCTTTGTCTCCAAGCTGTGTGTTCTGGGCACCCCGCAGACAGCAGCATATGCACTGGCAAAGCCCGCCAGCCTCGCTGTGCTCACTAACTGGCACATCCTATTTCTTCACAGGAGCTTCGTGCCGGTGGCTTGAGTGGAGCCTGCTCCTTCCAGCATTTCTGCCCCATGTTTCTTCTAAGGAGAGGAGCACTGCACAGTCTGGGTTCCCTGGAAGCAGCCTGCCCCCTTGGCAGGGGATGGTTTCTATTCAGATTAAAGTGCACATGAAGGATTCACCAAAGTGCAAGGGGCATGGAAGGGCTTTCTGGAAACAAAGAACAGTGTAATCCGGATTGCTAAACCTGATCCATAGAGACAGGTGCACATCTCAGTGATGACAATTGGCACAAAAAGCCCACAAAGAGAATTAATTTGCATCTGAGTGCACAAGAGTGCTTTTCTAGTTGCAAGGACAAGATGCACCCAATTAAGACAACAAACATACACCCGTGCCCAGGCTTATTCAAGTCACTAAAATATTGCTGTTTGAAGATTGTGTGGCATTGAACCTAATTAATGTACTTAGAGGAGCTATACAAAATCCTACCATCTCCTCTCAGTCTGGAGACACAGCACCAGATGCAATTAAATTCTACATCTTTTCTTCCCTAAGGAAACAAAAAAGATCCCTTTCTTCTCATATTTCTGTTTAGAGGTTTCTGTTACTGCTGTAAACAAGAMTCATGTATCTGTAATCTGAAGTATGGTTTGAATGGAATGCATTTCCCCACTCCTTGCAGTAGCTAAACAATGACCAAAACTGACATCCTGAGGAGATCAAAAACCTAATCTCATCCTATTGTGGAAATGGGTTGTCTTCCTTATCACATGTAATTAGTCACTGCACTAGATAAGAAGAACTGATGCTAAAACAGACTTACTTATGCTCTTTGTAATGTGTCCATACATTTGTTGGGAAACCCAATAGTAGGTGATATTTTGCTGCTTTTACTTTTTAAAACTCTGGTAGTTATGCTATACTCAGGTGCACCCAACATCTGCATTCTACTTCTCTTCAGTATAACTTGCATGCAATCACCACATGAATGTTTTGCAGTTCTTCCCAGATTTTRTTCTCTCCTGTGAAGTTTTAAAACTTCCCCTTTTGAGAAGCATCTTTTCTCAGATTTCATGTTTTCCTTAGTCACATCGGGGTATGTTGAACAGCTTGCATGTATCCTGTTTCCACAGACCACACTCTTCTACACCGTAAGCAATGTCAGAAGCATCAGGAAGGCACAGCTGCCTCCATCAGCCAAATCTCTACAGCATTCTGAGGAGAACAGAAGACAAAGCAACTTAAGCAAAAGTTTAAATACATTCACATGGACAGCAGTGCTCTGATCTTAGAGCTGTGGGAACTACCTGCTAAAGCACAGCAATTATGTCAGAAATATCAACTGCTTCCTTTTTCTATTATGCTCATACCTTTATTGTATTTGCAATGAAAACATGGCCAAGGTGGGCATGCTGAGAAAGATGAGCTCATTTGTTGCAATACAACAYGGAGAATCTTGAAAAGGCAATGAAAATTTTCCCACTAAATGCCAGGCTTTCTTTTGTTTAAATCCYCTGCTTTTTCTTTTAACTTGGAAGACATGCCAGTCAAGCTTAACACTCCCTTTGGAACAACCTGATCTTTCTATTCCACCCTAAAAAACCAGATAAATTCCCCATTTAAAGTGGTGATAAACCACCAGGCTAGATCCCAGTGCAAGTTTTATACTTCTCAATTTCATGAGAATATAGGGAGATATTGAAGCGGGCTCAATGAAGGGTCACTAAGATGATTAAGGCACCAGAGCATGTCTTCTATGAGGAAAGGCTGAGAAAGCTGCAGCTGCTTAGCCTGGAGAAAAGAAAGCTCACRGGAATCTTGACAGTGTKTATAAACAGCTGATGATATGGGAATAGGGCTCTTCTCACCAGCACACACTGGCAGGGCAAGAGGCAATGGGTGCCAGTTAAAATGTGCAAAATTCCATCCCTTTTGTACAGTGAGGGTGGAAAAACGCTGGCACAGGCCATCCAGAGGGGTTGTGGAGTCACCATCAGGGGAGATATGCAGAGCCCAGCTGGATTGGTCCATGACAAACTGCTCTAGCTGACACTGCYTAAGCATGGAGGTTGGACTAGATGACGTTGAGAGGTCTCTGCAGACCTCAACTAATCTGTGATGCTGAGAGCAGACCTTGTTCTGATGCACAAATTTCCAGTTTGGCTGCAGATGTCTGCAGCAAAAACATTCAGAATACATTTTAAGATCYCTTGATTTTAGGAGCTGTAAAATCAAGGACTTTTAAATTATCATGSTGCTAGAAATAAATTGCTTGTAGACCCTTAATATGGATGCCATGCAACATGGATCATTGTGGAATCTGATGAGGAATGACTTAGTACGTTTTWGAAGTGGCCTGACAATCCTACAGACTCCCTGAAGAGAGACAGGTACAAAGCAGAGAAGGAACAGGGTGTGCTCAGTAGTTTAGCAGGCAGAAGCTGTGTGGAGTTAAGCAGGCTTAAAGCAAAAGGAAATTTCTGAGAAGGAAGTTGCAGACTTGTTTGATAGTGTGATTTAATTTTCAAGTCTTCCTATCTTGGTTCGGTTACCTAAATGCTCTTTCTCCATCCATCAATATGGATGTTTCTGATGGCAAAGGGAAAACTTAAATGTGGACCAAAACCCTCTATCGTAAACCCCTTTCCTTTATCACCATTGATTTCTGCTAAGGCAGAAATGTTGGTATACCAGCTCTAAATTSAAGCTCACTGTCAATTTGACTCCCTGTTTATGGATGAACCCTGCTTTATGAAAGCTGTCTAAGCTTAGCAACCCAAGGATTTGGTTCAGAAAGTGTGACAAAGTTTCTGCACTTCTTAGGATGATTTTGAGAATAAACAAACCATGACAGTTACAGTGAGCCTAAAATATGTTCTGTGAATGTAGAAATTCCATTATTCTGGGGAAATAACCCCTGATTTTTGAAAAATACCTGTCATCAGTGAGAGAACTTGGAGATGAAATACTCTTTGTGGTGGAAGGGGATGCATTAAAGTCAAATGGTTAGTTTTGTTTTCTGCTAGGACGACCACCTTGTCTCTTACCTGTCTTGCTTGGCCAAGGCAGTCTGTTGTACTGCAAGTCAGGTAGCACCCCATAGAGGGAGGGRAGACTGAGAAATAACACCATAAAATCTTAACCTGATAAGTGAARAATGAGGACAAACTGGTAGAATTTTTGGGACTTCAAAATACTTGCAACTTGCACAGTGTAATGGAAGGTGCTGTACAGAGCAGAAAATTCTAGATCAAAGTAAAACAAAGCACAATGACTCATAGCTCGTTAAGGGCAGGCTTCCTGAAATAATARAGCTGTACCCTTGGGGAAAAATGAGTTCAGTCACCTTTCCAAGGGCTGTCAGAAGATGGAAATCAATGGACTCCCTGTATCTCAGGATTCGGAGGATGCCATCCAAGTACACCTGGTCCTTATTGAAACAGCCTGAAAGGAATGGAGATACATTGTACTGTATCAGTGYTTGGTCAAGGCATGTTCCCAGAAGCCATTACAAGCAGAACAATTTTATTTTTAAAAACTAGATATTTATATCCCTGACTTAGAAAATCTTTCCAAAAACTAGCTAGAAGGCAAAACCCACTAGCCAGAAAAAGAAATCAAACATAGAAGAAAGTGCCTGTGAATAACCACAGGCAATATTACATCTCTAGAAAGCAGGTCAAACTGTGAGTATGAACTTTTCCAAAGTTTTGTATTTACATCCCACTTCCAACAAAAAAAAGTCCTTTACTGATTCAGCTTGAAAGTCTCACTTATGAGCATTTTCAGCCTTGTTTTCCATAGCAGAATTCCTGAGACCCCATTTCAGAAAGTGGGGAGTCCCATGTCTCCCTTTTGCAAAGATTTTACTGTGTGACGTGATTAAGGACCTCTGTGTGTGTTCTGAAAACCTCTCTGAAGTGCAAAAAAAGAGAAGGCAAATAGGGCACTCACCTGGTTGTGAAGTGTCTGTCCACCCTCTCTTGGCCCGCACGCAGTAATCCCACCTAGTATTGGGGTCCTTGACAAATTTCCCCACATCCTGGAAAAGCTGACTGAAGGACATTTGGCTGGCCTGGTACACTGTGTAGTAGAGCAGGGCAGCTCTCCAAAGAAAAGGGTCTTTTCGGAACAGGACRCTGTGGATGCTCGCCAGCCCCTCTTCTGTAGGGTTGATTGGTTTTAACCCGTGTTTTCTACGTCCATTCCGGTTGCACCAAGGCTGGCTGTTGTTGTTAAAACCCCGGAAATAATGAGTTCCTGGGGAAAAAAAACAACCCTTAGAACAATAGCATCCAATGATTAATAAAMAATTATAAAATGTATAAGGAGATGCCCATTTCAGAACTCTGAGCTGGTAGGACTGGGCACTGGGAAAAATGCTGACTTTAGCCTTGTCTGCAACAGAGAATTTTGTCAGAAATAGATACAGCATGCAAATATTCAGCTGTTGACTGCAAGTGAAATTCCTGAAAATGCCTGAGGAATGCATCTGTTAGGAGGACTTAACTTTCTAAATCTGTGGAAAGGAATTTTCAGAAAAGTCTTACAAGCTGAATTATCTCTGGCATAGGCTAGACTTTGTAGGAAACAGAAGGAAGGAAAATCAAAGTAAAGGGGCAGAAATGTTGCCTCCTGAAGGTGATGAAACAGCACCACATTGGAAAATGCTGTGTCCCTTACAAACTAACACTGCTTCTGGGCAATTGCAAGGCTTATTCCTCAGCTGATATTCAAGCACTAGCCAAGTTTATCCATTTTTCATTAAAGCAGATGCACTGAAAAATTTGTAGAAATTTTCCACAGAGCTTGGCCAACCTTGTGCAATGYAAAACCAAAGCAATTTTGCACCACTTTAGGGATCACTGGGTAAATTCTTCCTACATAAAGCATACCTACGTTGTCAAGCAGTGCAGCGTGACAGGAGCAGGTTTGTAAAGTGACATGGCTGGAGCTGAGGTTAAACTGTCACAMTATTTTTGTTTCCCTTAACTCCAGAGTAGTTAAAAAAAAATTGCTCTCATGAGCAAAACTTCCCTAAGCAGTGACAGCACAGAAGGCATGCCCTGGAGCAGAGCCTCTGGGCTTGCAGCATCTGAAAGGATTACATTTTGCCTGCTCCAAGATTCCTTTGGCATGGGAAACTCAGTGCAGTAAGTGGGGCTAGCTGGCAGGCTCACTTCAAAAGCTCGCTCTGGGTCTGACCTAAAATGCTAATGTACATAAACCTTGGAATCCTTTTACTGCCTGCTGCAGGGATTAAAAGGTTTCTCTGTCCCTTTAGCCCACCTCCAGCACAGGTTCTTTGGATAGGGATGTTCCCTCTTTCTGCATCTGTCCAGTGCCTAGCCCATCACTGTGAAATAAGCAAAAGGCATGCAGAACTGATGCCAGGCTCGTACCAATCTCGTGTCTCAGCATCCCCTCCAGCCAGTGCTCTCGTGCAGTGGAGACATTGATGGTGAGAGTGGGGCGGCCGTTCACCACSGTCATGGAGGCTCGGGACAGCAGGTCCTCTGTCAGATGGACCACAATCTGAAGAGGAGAGAGTTCAGGTAGAATTGAAAGAGCTCTCTTCTGGCTCCTATTCCTGCTTTTTCCTCGGGCCCCTCCACAATTTCATTTCTCTTTGGTCCCTTGCCCTCCACAGCTTTGTCACACGATCAGCAGTCACCTGAGAGACCCTTCTGAACGGGTTTATCCTTCTCCTGTGCTACTGATGGAACCTCCAGGTTTAGTGGGGTGGGGAAGGGTGAAGACAGATCAATACGACACTGAAAAAATTAATATGGTAACACTGACTAGACACAGAGGGCAGGCAGCAATTGCATGCAGAATAAATTAGAGAAAATTACAGGTTTTGAACTGTGTTGAATGATCTTGGTATTACTGAGAACTGAAAAATACTAGATAAGCACACATAAATTAACCAGGTATCTATATAATTAGCAGTCTGAAACCATTTTAGTTGCAATTCTAAAGCCACTTGAATGAGAGGGGGAAGGACTTTGTACTTCTTTTCCTGTTACATGATGMAGACTTGAATATTATTGAAATACTGGTATTGTTTTGCTCTACGCAGCAATAAAGTTCTTGCTTTCCTGTTCTCTCTTGGAAAACTGGTAATCAAAACAAAAACTGGCAGAGGAGGGAACTAATGAATATTGATATATTTTATTATTTTTCTTCAAAAAGCCTTTTTAAACAAGTGACTGAGAGGGAAAAGGGAAACTCTTTGCTGAAGACTAAGCACCTTTCCCTCCTCATGTAAAGCCTAAAGAAACAGTACTGCTCAGAAGAGCACAAGGGAGATTACTTAAAAAAAGATCACTTGTTTAGTGTCCAAAAAAAAAAAGGACCCAGGCATCAAAAGCATTAATATGAAACTTCCCTGTACTCAAAACTCACCATTCAGCTTTAAGTTCAACAACAAATAGTCAGTCCCATACAACTTGTATTCAAGAGGCAGGAAAAACAGGTAAATCCCAAAGCATTTAGACTTGAGGGATAGGTGCCACTTAGCCTTATTAACACCTCTTCAGCTGGAGAAAGTATTTTCATATTTTAGACCATCCTAAGCATGATGTGTTAACCCTGTTTTCATAGAAAAAGTAAAGTATTTCATTAAAAAGGACATGGATTGCTGGATGAGGGTGTAGGATCCAGCTTCCATGAAATCAAAGCAAGCCAAAAATGAAGAGGGAGATAAAAGCACAGGAAAGACCAAACATACATTTCTTTTTTTCTGCTTGCTCTAACCTGTAGTTTGTTAATCCCTCTCTTAGAAATGCAGGTAAAGTCTGGTTATCAGTGACAAATCATTCTCACAAAAGGGTGTTATGAGTTTAGCAGTTCTCCTAATAATGTTTACCAATTAAACCTAGTTTCTGGGAAATTAATTTTTGTCTCATGATTCCAGACTCCTSTTGCTCACTGCCACTGATTTCATCCAAGTCTTTGACTGTGTCATCTGGTGGTTTCATTTGGATTAATCCYTTTTTTATACATTCAATTTCATCTGACTTTTCCAAGGAATTTCATGTAACTTCATCAAACTGGCCTTTTTAAAGCCTGAATATAGAAAATAAATTCTTTTCACAAGGCTCTAAAAAGTAGATGATTAAAGCCAGGAAATAACAGCACTCAAACCAACTCAACAAGCCAACCTCTTTCRGACATTTTTATTCACTTATGTCACTTTCATTTGTGTTGCTTCTTATAAATCACTCTCTTGGGCTGCTGTTTATTTTTCTTGGCCTTTTCTTAACTCTTTCCCTTGGTGTAAATAATTTGATGCAGGAGAACGGATGGCAGAACTGATGAATAAATGGAAATGTACTGGTCTCCAAGTAGCTGAAAAAAAGGAGGGAAGGAAGGGTGTTGTTCTGGGGTACTCCCAAAAGAAGTGAATTTAAGAACAAGCATATATGAATCAGGAAACAGGCTCAGAGAGATGACTGAAGCATTCACAATGAATTTGTGTCATTTCAATTGTTCAAACATTAGACTGGGCTTAGCCTTGAGAAAAGTATGATGTAAGGAATATTCTTGTAATTACAGAGGAGAGGAGGCCTCCCAGATGGTCTCTTTGGGTCCATCCATGTGGAATGTCTGAGGTCTACATAAGTGCTCCTTCCCCAATGCAGTGCAGGATTTACCTCACCAAGGCAGCCTTCCTTCACCATGTACTTCCTGACGTGATTCCAGATCCGACTTTTGGTCAGCAAGCTGCCTCCAGTGGCCTGTTCAAATTTTTCATAGCTTCCATATTTCTGCAACGTCCGCTTCATGATATTAATGGACTATAAAATGAAAAAGCATAGCAAATATCAGTGCAGTAAGATCCTCATGTCAGACTGGCATGTGTATTCTTTCTCTCTCTCTCAATCTCTCTTTTTTTTTTCGTTTAAAATCCTTCTTTTCTTAACTCACTGGCAGGCTGTACTCATTTAATACATGCTGACACACTCTGCAACGAATTTATACCATCTTCAGATGTACATTAATGCCAAAGTACCAAAAAAAGATTCTGATCAACTCGTCTTAGACTCACAAATTATGGGGGTTAGATGATTAGCAGTCCAGTAAAACAATACCCATTTTCTCTTTAATTTTGGCAATGTTGTATAACTGCCTCTAAAACAGACGTTAACAGGTCTCCAGGACATTTGCAATTTGACAGCATGTTTCTTTTCATGTTTTCCCAAAGAATTTGAAAAAGATCAACTATTACTGTCATCTTGCTTCATTTCTTGGCATTTTCTAATTTAGAAACATTGAGCCATGATTAAGCAGATGYGTAACTACAATTTTAACAATAATACTTCTACCAAAAATGTCTTCTTACAATGAAATCGCTTATATCATGGTTGTCTGTTTCAGAAAGGAGGAGAGAGAGACGGAACTTCATGTACAGAACTTTCATTTAAACCTCTCATGTAAACCACAGTACTTCTTTATAACCCCCAAAACGAAGCCCTGAAATAACTAGAGTGGTATCAACAATTCTCTTAGGTATTGCTGCTAGAAGAAGTCCTTTGTAAGTGGAAAGCTTAGCATGATASCCATAACCATGATCTGAACTCTGCATATTGAGGTTGTTATTGGTGGGGTGTGAAATGCTCATCCCCAGTAATCTGATTTCCAGCAYGTCATTTCACATCCTTAAAAGAAAATGTGGTATGGAATAACTTCTTCCCTAGCAACAATGCAGCTACAGGGAATGGCTTTTTGTCATAGACTTGATAACAGCAGCTCCTGATACTACCTTGAAAAATTAATGCTCTTGCTAAGAAAATACCACTAACAATAAAGGTGAAAATCTTGCAGACTGGATCTCTTTTACATTATACACTCGTATCCCTCCATGAAGCTGGTGACATGCTTGTTTCTAGCTATGTAATGCTGACATTGTCAGATTGACTGATTTTCCACAAAAATTGGATTAATTTTTTATCTCTCACAGCTACTAACAATCCTTCTCTAATTTTTTTCACGTTGAAACTAAGCAACCCTGAGTAATTGCCACWGAAACCCATAAATGACAGTTAGACATATTCTTGAAGTCTGTAGCTCTTTGATGAGGGAAATATCAGTTACCCGAATGCCAAAGAAATATTGCACCTAATGTTCAGTATTTCTATGTCTTGAACATTTTTCCAAACTATTTTTTCCTTTTTTTTAATTACCTATGAATTTTAACTTCTAAAATCACTGGCTGTTTTATCCTTTTTTTCAGTGTCTGCAAATGCTGAGGCATTTGCCTGTCTTACACAAAATCCTTGGTTAAAGAAGCAACCTGAATATTCCAACCCCTTTCCCAGGAAGTTTATTCTCAGCCAGCAGCCTGAACAATTCATAATAACAGTTCTTCAGTTTCATTTGTCAGGTGCCAGATCCTTAAGATATTTATGTTACCTACTAGTTGTTTGGTATATTGGGTTTCTGTGAACAATTAATTAACTTTATTTGCTCACTCTGGAAGAAATAATCTCTCAAACAATCTTCTAGCATGAAATTTGTCTTTACTTGTTGATATTTAATGTCAATTAAGTCTATTAAACACTAAGTACCCACTTAAATTCTAGGATGCCTAAGTTCATTTGAAATKAAATCCCAGGAGTGCAGGCATTTTCAAAAACCACCTCATCACAACAAACAGTGAGAAAATAAGCACTGAACACACAATTCTGATTCCTGCTTGGCTGTCTGTAACAGCAAACTCCCTGGGGCTGAGACCTCCATGCTACAGGAGGCAGAACGTTTTGGGGAGTCAGGAGGCCCAAGTTCTCACTCTTCCTGCCCACARGCAAGCTCCTTCCTGGACTGTTGAAGACTTTCCTAAAATGCTGTTAAACACTTGAACCAATAGCACAATATAAATGGCTGGTTTTCAGACAGCTCCTCCTGAAGAGGCACAGACCCACTGTGGCCTCTCCTACCTCAACCTGATAGAGTTCACTGCTTCAACGGGAAACTTCTTTATGTGCCATGCTAGTTAACCCATACCCTGGCATTTCCAGCCACATCCAGACACGTGTTACAAGTGCATATTGAGAAAGACATTAAGCTTCAGCCTCCTCGTTGCTGAACAGATATTCAGAAATTACTAAGAAGGGGGCTCACCCCTAGGACCTTCTCTACTGACTCTGTTTCAAGCAAAATGGAAAATTTCCTGAAAATCCTTTCCAAGTGGGCAGATGTGGTTCTGGAAGCACTGAAACAACAGGGAGCGCCATCACACACAAATCTCTGGGGAGTGGCAGATGGCCTGGGCACTGAGATAAGCCAGTGATGTTCCTGGTTTTGACACTTCTTGCCACAACCACTACAGCTGGGGGTGGTTCCTGAGGAGAAAAGGTTTGGGAAATGTTTGGTTTCCAGGCACCGAGTAYGACAACAAGCCCTCAATTTGGGGTTCTGCACCTGTCTTTAAAGTGAGATGACTCAGTCAGGTGTTGCAAGAATTTGCTGGGAAAGGGGAAAATCCAGACCAGCATGCCAGCTGCTGCCTACTGCATCATCCAACTGTGATTCTGCCTCTGGGCCAGCAGAACACTGCAACTGCTGCAGTTCCAAAGGCCAAACAGTAAACTCATCAGAAAAGAATTGTGTGGCTATACCTGGCTACTGGTTAGGAGAAATAATTCCTATTCTTTTCATTTTTACCTAGAAGTTGATACTCACTGGGTTTTGGTATGAGACWGTGCTCTGAAATAAACCTTTCTTCCTATGTGATATCACCAGAAGTGATCTACAGTCTCTTCTAGGGGAAGAGATGAGTTTGTTTGRGACTCTGAGAATTTACACTGCTTGGATGGCCTGATATGCTTTGTGTTATGTATTAGCACACCTTATCTATAAATCTTAGTTAACAAGGGAATTTGTTACTAGCTGAGAAAGAAGCATTGTACATTTTAGTGCTTTTTACAGACAATGTCACGTTCTTGAATCTTCCACATGCCTAAGCTGTGACATCACTTGGACACAGCAAAGAATTACTCAGTTTTGAATGCCATGTTGTTTGGCCTTCCAGCTCCACCTAAATTTTTTTCCAACATCTGATAAATTTGTTAACTGTAGGCTAGTTGTATTATTGCCTTAAAAGGTGTCATAAAACACTTGCAATGTGGCATAACTGGTTTATTTATTAACTCAAAACTGCTATATTTTTATGAGTACAAGGGAAGAGGATGTGTAACTCTTTCATTGGGGGATCACTCATTCAAGAAAATCGTTGGGGTTTTTTTTTTTTGCTGTTTTTTTTAATGTACATAGAAACAGAATTCTTGCCATCTTTCAAAGAAACACATTACTTAAAGTTGCAACTTGCTGATTTTGGTTCAGCAAATTGCAACTGTTRAGTTTGTCTGCTCTCCAAAGCCTGGGGACTGGATTTCTTCTAAGCAAGTATTGTCACCTCTAGCATCTGAGCAAAAATAACAAACACTTTTAGTGCTAAAACACTTCACAATGAAGTAGTTTGAGCCAGAAAACTTTTACAGCACACAGTTGCTGCAGTGACCTTGAAACACAGTGATAAGAGAATYAACTTCTGTAATATCAGATATGGTAATCAATGTGAAGAGTGCAAATCTGTATTCTATTTTCTGTTCTCAAGTTTTCTTCCCTAAAGGCACATATTGTGACTCATGAAAAAACTTATTATGAAGAAAATATGAAATAAGAGAGAAATAAATGGAACAAAGTACAGGAAGAAAGGCTCTAAATTTAGCATTTTTCAAATGTATTAATAACTCCAAAATGCTTTATGTCTGTGAAAAGTCAATCAATAAAAGTGCTGGGCTGTGCCCAAGGTTTAAAAGCTTTGATTTAAGTAGAGGCATAGGGTAAAGTGGGTGCTCACAAGCCTGTGCATTCCCCACTGCAGCACTGCTGGGTTAATGTTTTCCAAATCCTCAGTCCTCTTTGCCTTTAAAAAAATAAATAAATGGGGCAGAGTATGATTTGTCTTCCAGACATATTTCAGTAATGCCATATTAACCAATTTCATAGACATGCACAAATGCAGAAAGGGCAATGAGAAAACACAATCTGTTTTAATGTCCTAGCAGGCTATGCACAGCTGTGGGTAAAAATAGTTTTGACATGACTGAAAAATTCTCTACAATTCTGAAATGTCAGGTCTTGAGCTCATTTGACTTAAGTATCCTAAAAGCCCCCTATAAAAATGATGGGTTCGGTCAATAAGAGCTGGGTTTACAGCTTCTTATTAAAAAAAGAGCAAGCAAGTATAAGTTGCCATGAGCACCTTTTGTAGGAAAAAGTCGGAATATTTCTGTTCTTCAGATACCAAAGCTTTCTAAAGTAAGTGGAGCAATAACAAAGGGCCAAAAATGTTTCAAGAACCCCCAACAAAATGGAATTGATCTTTCTTGTAGCAAAAGAGATGACTATGCACAGTTGGGTTTTTACTGCAGACTGAGCTCTTGATGCTGCACTTTTTTGCAACCAAAGTCATCCTTTCTGAACTTAACTTCCTCTAAAATACCTAAAGTACAATCTGTGTAGAAAAAAATAGCAATGAGGAAAAGCAAGTGCTCCTACAATACTTGCTGATTAAAATTTTGATTAATGCTGCTTTTTATGGAYAGAAAATTTGCATGAAATTAAATTCAAATTTGCGTGGAGATGAAAATTTCTCAAGCTAGTTGTAGATCAAAGAGAGAGAGTGACACCTGCTGGGCTTGGAGCGGTGTTAAAGCTGGTGGTTTGGTCATTTTTAAGTACAAGGCGTTTTTGTTTGTTTTTCTTTAGGAGACGAACGTTAAAATTTTCTAGTGACTCAAAGTAAGTCTTATGAACTAATGTACATCTTCCTTGTTAATTTTCAGAAATAACATACTTCATTGAATATTAAGTCCTTCAGTGCTTTTTATAAAGTTGTTGCAAAGCCTCTATTTTCCCATACTTTTTATTGACAGGAAAAAAAAGGTAGAGTTACAAATTAGAATAATATTGAGGAATCACTCATTATTAAAATATTCATCACTTAGGTTTATTTCGGGATTTTTTTTTTAAAGAAAGGTAAACCAGTGACAGGCTTGCTCCAGAAAATCATCAGGCATWAAAGGACTTTTGAGGCTCTGCTAGTTGACACTAAAAGGGATAATTTGTATCAAATTCAGCTTGTCAAATTAGTAATTGTTGATTTGCTATAATCTATGTTGCTAATATTGCTAAAAAAAATCAAGGAAAAACTGTTAAAAAGCTCTAGTCAAGGAKCAATTTTATTTGGTGTCATTATGAATTACTTTGTTGTTTAGAAGCATGGAAGATGATTTTAAGAATAGAACAGCTGTTCTGTTTTCTCGTAAAGAAAATAAATTTTTAATGAAAACCCAGAAACTGACTTTTAAAAATATACAGATATTTTCAATGTGAAAACRGAGACCAAGACTACCAATTCAATGACGTAATGGGCAATAACAGTTTCATATGTTCTTGGACATAGAAGAAGAAAAAAAGGTCAGTCTGTTCACAAGTCGGGGATCAGTTCTTAGAATCCTTAGTTCCTTTCACTCATGTATCTTTTCCACCAGGAATTTTAGGCTTTTTAAGTGAAATATTGATATCACAAAGAAGTGAAACTCATGGAATGGCAGGATGTCTTCCCAAGTTAAGTGTCACTTGAAAATATAACAGTCTCTGCTTAGAAAAGCTTGTCAGACTTAAATAAGATCTAAACCATTTTAAAATAAAAAAAATCTTCTAAACCATTTAAAATAGCAAAAGTGGGAAGAATACTTCTTCTGCTACTGTATAGGTAAGCACTGGGTTTTGTCACTTAGGTCAAAGCYGAAAGTAAGGCTTTTGTTGTTGTTTGTTTTTTTTGTACCTCAGGTAGAAAGCCAAGGGAGTTACACAGAGTTGGAATGTCTGTAGTTATGTTACCAATGTGGCTGCATGTTATGAAAAACCAAAAGTGTCTTTTTAAAATTTACCTCTCTCTGGAAAGGAATTTGGCTGCTGCTTGATTGAGTGGAATGTATATTCAAATAACATTTCAAAGTTGATTAAAAAAAGGAACATCAACATATGCTTATGCAATAACGATGACCTCAAATAATTGCTATCCTCTCTCAATCCCTGTGTCACCAAGAGGATTGGCAGGATTTCTATGCTGCCTTATTCCTCTGCCTGTTTAGACACTGTAGCTTTCCTGTACTGGACCCTACTTTATTGCCTAAAAAACTATCTTGCTTTAAATTACGTTTCATGTAAACTCATTTASAAGGAACTGTGCCTTTATCCTTTAAAAATCTGTAAATTTTAAGGTTTTATTTTTTGTTAATGAAAAAAGATTTTATTTCATTTCTACCAGTGCATTTTCATCTTTGATACATTCTTCAAGCAGCAGGGGTGAATGATAAGGAGAAATGACTTGCCACAAAGCTAAATACCACACAGGTGTAGAAGAAATAATCAGTGGGAAACGAAAAGAAGGGGRTAAAAGTAACTATACCTGCTTAAGAAATCTGTCAGACGCATGGCTGTGCTTAGCTAACACATTTGGCAGAGCAGGGTTCTCATACTCAAACTGAGGATTGTACGTAAAATCCGAGTCGAAGAATTTCACTTTCTCCTTCTCCACATTGGAGGGCTTGATGGCAGTCAATAAACAGAGTTTTTGGCCAGATGCATCGCCTTCCTTGGTATGGCTCTTTGCAGCCTGGGGCTGTTTTGGCTTTGTGAGGTTGGGGTGCCGTTTGTTCCTGCTCCTGGGTCGGGGTGGYGGTCCCGCGGTGCTCCCCGCGGGCAGAGCGCTCCTGCTGCCGGTGCTGCCCGGGAGGATGGGGGACACTCTGCCCCCGCAGCACCATCCACCGCTCACCTTCACCTTGCGGTGCTCGCTGCCCCGCGATGTGGAGCCGCATTTGGTGGCTTTCCTGTGCTTCTTGTGATGGGCGGATGGCTGCTTCTGAGCGTGGTGTTTCTTCTCCTCTTTGCTCTGTAGAAGGACGTTGTAGCTGCTGGTTCCTGTTGTGAAAATGTCCTTAAGGATCCCAGAAGGAGGATGCTGGAGACTGTTTTCATTATTAATATTCAGTTTATATACTTCCAGACTCAGGACTGATTTCCTAGAAAGTTCTGTCTTAGGCCAGTGAAGTTTTTCTGCATTCAAGAGGAAAAAAAAAAATTAGGACAAACTTGATTTTCCTACAGTGATACTAATCTTAAGGACTCAAAACTGCAACATAAACAAAACATTAAATGTCCTGACTGCAGTGATGTTTTGACTGCAGTCACATCACATTAATCTTCACTTCTAGGCATAGAAACAAATTGAGTGTGTATATAATTTTTTAACTACTAGACTGGGACCTGTAAGATACAGCTAAARAAGTATTTTATGCTTGCATCTCCATGCACAATTACACCATTGGCAGCTAGGAGCTAAGTTGTTTTTTAAAAGACTCTGCAGGACTTTACAAATGTTTACTGCTAGATTAACAAATGTATAGTTCTACGCAAAATCTGATTGATCTTTATCATGCAAGAAAGGCTTTCTGTATGCAAAAAGAATAACTAAAAAACCAGGAAACTGTATAGGAGCATGTGAGCTGTGTTTATAGTGAAGTCCCACAGGGATCTGTGCTGTGATACAAGCAGTCTGGTGTGATCTCATCTGCAAAATTTGATTCACAGGATTTACACTCAGAAAAGGATGAGAAAAGTGGAAAGGGACAGCAACCATGAACAACTTACAACACCATATGGATAGTAATATACGTTTAAATTACTTCAGTTTCATGTGTTCAGTCTTAATACAGACAGTAAACTAGATTTAAAGAGAAGATTTAAAGAGGAGAGAGAAAAGAGATCAGCTAGTTACACACCCGAAAAGCCTTAAGACAGCACTGGTTATTGCATCTATTCAGAGCTGTTCTAAAATATCAATTGGCTTTAAAAAGGACACTTGAGAAGAAACCTTGTAAACTAAACTGAATGAAAGAAGCAAATAAAGTTCCTTTAATGAGTGAGCCCACCTTTCTTGCCCTGACCGCTGGCAYAGCCTTCAGGAGGAGATTGGTCCTTGGTGCAGAGCAGCTGCACGGAAATGTCATTGAGGATTAAAACTGAATTTAACATTTGTGCTGGMTTGTTAGGGTGAAGTGACCTCGCTTTACTGGTCCTAACCATCCCCTCCTCTTGACAGTCAGTTCCTCCTAGAACTTTAGGTGGACATGATTTATTTGTTACTGGTACAAATAAATCATGCCACAGCAGAAGGTTTCCTACTTCTGTACCTAAAATAATAGGATTCATGGAAGAGAAGATATGGCTGGAGCATGATTAAAGCCTGCGAAAGGGATTTGAGCTTCATCCCRCAGTTATACATAGCTGAGCCGTAATTACTTTACATCCAGTAATTATACTCTGAATGGAACATTAGCAAGAGATCATTAAATGCCTCTAAGGGGAAAAAAATTGACAGTGGCTTAATTTCAGCTTTATTTTCACAATAAAATTAGGTTTTGCTCCTTCATAAGCACCATGACAACGTATTTCATGCTATTGGACCTCTGTCAGTTCCATATCAACCTGTGTTCCTTAGTTCTCCCGAACATCCTGTCCTAAAAACCAAAAAGACCAGAGCTCCTATTTGCATGAATATACAATGGGTGATCTATGGTCTGAGTGCTTCCTTCATTGGAAAGAAGAGAGATGGAACAATAGATTATTCSCTTTCATTGAAGAGTGTGTATCCTATGCAAACTCAGTTTTCTTCCATGGTAAGTTTGTGAATTCCCTTTCTGTGCTTGGCACAGGAATGTGCTCCTTGGCGTTCCTGTTCAAATTCTGTCARATCATTCCCATCACATACGTGACAACCTGCCTACATGGCTTATCTTGCTTTCCCATGAGCTGTCATGGTGAGAAACCACAGCTCCCCATCACAAGGAGAACAACATCAAACTAAATATATAAAAGAGATACATTTTTTTTGAACCACAGAATAGGTGGACCACTCTCATATTTCTTGGCAAGTATTTGAGATTGACTTCAGACTTGTATCAACTACTACAGTATGAGAACCCTTMCTTTTAAGAGTGGTAAATTACTGGGAACCTTAATTTACATCTGAATTTAATTTAATGTCTGAACACATATAAAATTTCTGAGCACATGACTTTGCTTACGTAGACAAAATTTAAGTTGTAAATTACACAGCCACTCCTTAAAATATAGATGAAGAAATAACATGACACCAGAGGTATTAACACTTCACCCTCTACTAAATAGTTCTCAAAAGCCACAAAGAATACAGAAGCCTTAAATTGATGCTATAATGGAATAATTTGAACTAATACCACACATGTATCTAAGAACTGATAAACAGAAAAGAAAATAACCAGAAACTGAATTCAATTAAAAAGCTCAAAATGACCTTAAACCACACATTTCCTCCTAAGCCTCGTGTCAATGTACTACCATAACCTCATGACAGCAAGCTGTCACAGCTAAGTGATACAGTTAGCCAGTAATAAATTCATTTATTTGTAGACAATCACTTAATGTTACCTYAAGGCAGAATTCTCCCAAAAGTGTCACAAATGGTTGAGTGCTGAACATGCACTGGCAGGTTTCACACACACATGGCTGATATCAAAAATAGTTGTCCCCAGTCTGTAGTTACTTTGTAAGTGCAATCTTGTTTGCAAAGTGATTTTTCAGCTGCCAAACTAAGYGTGGCTGTCCTTAATTTTCTTCTCACTTAAAGGATACTGTTTGATGCCTACTTGTGCTGAAAYCCAGAATCAACAGGCAATCAAGCACATCTGAAATACTTTCACAGAAGTCAACTGCTCTTCTAAAATTTTGTATAGGTCTTCTGAACATCATTACCAAATAAATYAGAGAATAATAGAGACTATATCAAAATCATGTTGCAAAGCACCAAATATAAAGTTYTTTCTCTAGTACATTTGTTTAAGCTATAACAGATATATTAAATTCAYATCTGTAAATCAGACAGCATCAACCAAACTAAGAATATACTGTCTTCTAGGAAACTTGACTTACTAAACCCAAGAGTTTCCAATGATTACCAATGCCTGGTGATTGAAAAAGCGGTCTAGTATTCTGAATATAAAACCAATTCATTGCACAGCCTGCTTTCTGAAAACCTGCTTCACTATTTCAAAAAGTACTGAGATATATGCTGCTRTAAAGTAGCCAGCAGAACGGATTATCAACCCAGATTAATTGCATGGATTACTTAGCAGTGATTTCCAGCTTTTAAATTCTGGATATCATTAGACAGATGACTGGAGATTACTTCTAAAAGATATGAAAAAGGCAAACTGAAAATCACCATGCTATAGTGTAATGCTATCCTGCATATCAGGATACAGATACAGCACTACAGATCCCATACATTTTACCTTTGGTATCTCATATCTGTTACATGTGTTCTGAGAAGCACAAATCTRAATTTCCTGACCTGACTTAGCTATTGGTTTTTTTCTGCACTTTTTGCAGTAGAAAACTGTCAAAGAACACATGCCCGGGGATGCAGTTACCTTTGAGAACCTCCCTCATGTAATTTCTTTACAAAGATTCTTTTCATTRTTCTCACTTCCAAACTCTCGTCACAAAGCCACAAATCCTTCAAAAATTAAAAAAATCATAAAACAAAACCACCACAAAACTAATATTGTCTCTTTCTAAAAGATTCTCCATCTTGTTTACTTCCATTTATTTATATCTTGTTCCTCTGCAACAACACAGTAATAAAAACATGGTCCTAAACACAGAGGTGAAACATTACATGAAACAATCTGCCACATTTGGAGTGCAARGTTATGTAGACATAAGCAAGGAGGGGACAGAAGGGCTGCCTGTCTCTATTTTGTCATAATTARGGTAACAAAGAACAGAAAACCCTCCAGTTAATGGCAACTTGCTCTGTCTTGGGCCAGAGTAGAGCTCTATCCCTCTTTAAAGCACAAAATGGGCTAGCAGGGCAGCTAGATCATACCCAAGCCAAAGTCCCATCATTTACAAGATATCAGCTGGAACTGGCAGTACAGGGCTTACTCCATCCTGCAGACACAAGTGTACTACATGTCACAGAACAATTCAAAAATACCACAGGCTGATTTTGCACACAGGGGAGTTTTACCTGTAACTTCCATTTATATGCAGGTAGMTATCCCAGTGTCACAGCAGTATTGGAAAAGSGATGGTGKCCAACTCCTAACAGAGGATATGTGRCAACTACAAATTATGATTCYGCACTAATGAAACACTTTTCCATATATTAATTGCATCCCAGTCTTTAGCCTTGAGCCTTGCACCACTGCAGACACTGCCTAATCTTTCAGAGGTTATTTGTTAGAAAAAAAATGTTTAGCTTTTATGTTTTATTCAGGAGCCAGGCTATATTACCGATCTCCATCCTTTAGAAACTGATGGATTGATCTAATAATATACGTGGTCAAATCCCAACGTAAACATTCTTCTAGACTTTGGAGAGCGTTGTATAAATACCTTCCTCTACGCTACAGGGCAGCTACTGTCCAAGGGGCTTCTTAAACACCTGTTCCATAGGTGGCATGAGGTTAATGACAGGTATTTGTGGGCACAGATCTCTCTGTCTGGCTAGCCTTGTCCTAAAATAGCAGAGAGCTCTAGCAGTTTTCGAGCAGCTGTCACTCAGGTTATATATGCACAACGAACAAATCCTTTCCAAACTGCAAGTGTGACTAAGGTGCTTAGCAAAACATGTTTGTGGAGCACYTCCTCCTGTCCTAGCAATGTAATGGTTTGAGCCACTACTTTAATATACTTCTACATTACCATGTGAGAATATGGTTTCTTTTTACTCAAAATCAGAAACCATTTCAAGGCTAACTTGAATTTTCAAATTTATAGTAATACAAATAATAYCTGTGATCTATCTACAAGCAATAATTAAGTTTGAAACTGAGAGATGAGAAGGAACTGCACAGATGTGACAAGCAAGATTMTTCYTTTGACACACTGTGCAACAGTACAATTACATTACAAAGAAATATTTAATTCAAATATTCAGATAATTTGAATAGATTCACAACACCCGGTAGTTTATGGGCTCTAGACTGTTCATGTGTGCAGAGGGCTATAGAAAGAAAGCAGGCAACATAGTGTAGTATATGAACATGTAATGTTCTACTGCCTCTCAAACACTACAGGCTTCTATTTGTTCAGGTTCAGAATCTGTTCAGACCAGAACCCTGTATTCTATTTCCTCACCACTGGAAAGGTGAAAACACCTTTAAAGTTTAAAAACACTCCAGCTTTGAACAGGAGCTGTCAGGCAACTTGAACTAGACAGCACTGGAAGCTCTGTCTATAATGGCTGAAAATAGCTCAACAGCAGATTTAGGCAATGAGTTTCTGTGAAAACACTGACATGGAGTTACTTCTCATTTTCACAAGCATCTAGTTATTAACTAGAGCCTGTATGATTGGGAACTTTTACATTTAAGGTAAAAGACATCCACAGCTCCCCCCCCCCAATCCACCTATTTATTTTCCTCCTGTAAAGGTATTATCTGTCATTCAGCTTTTAATGCTGAGCTTCAAACCAAGGGCAGGTTTCAGCTATCAGCCAACTTGTATATCTGATTCATTAGCTGCCAGTGTTTGCAAGTAGCTCTGCATTTATAGGACTGATTGGCAGTTTGAATTTTCTTCTTTAAAATGACAATGCTGAGATGTACTCTTTCTACCTAAAAAAAAAAAAAGTATGGACTGACTTGCAAGCAGTTTCCTGCATGTTTGCTTCTACATCGAAATACCGTATTATGTAATTGACTCCAAATTCAGGTCCTTCAAATTAAATTACATGTGCACAGTAATAATCAGGAAGAGTGAAGACTTGGCTCTAATGAAATCAAGTAACAAACTCCCACTGATTTAATAAACTCAGGATATAATCACAGAATACTGATTTACAGACAGACCTGCACAGGATGAAACTTCATCCAAGCAGATCTCTGTCTTGTTCTACCGCAGCACAGGTGCAGTCAAGAACATTTGATTGAGGGATATGGACTCAAATATCTTTCACGAAATCTCATCCTTTAAGATTGCAGTGCCTATTGCACATCTCCAGGAATGCTCTGATCAATYCCATGAACTTTATTTCTGTTCCCATTATCAGAAGTAACACTCTAGTCTWATCCATGCACAGATGGAACAGCATATCAATTATGCAGAGAAAGAGAAGCTGTAAGAGATCGTAGTTATGATTGTTAGGGTACTGAATGAGGGCACACCAATACACCTCCAGCAGATTTCTTGTAGAYAGATTTCCCCATGGCAAAGTAACACTGGCTTGAGCAGCTGAAGTAATGACACATGAAAGGATGTGAAACTTAAACAAGGAAAACATCTGTTTCCAAGCAGCAATTGCATTGTAGGTTTTCCTTCATTCCACATGTACAAAGCACGGAAGATAGCGGTTTTGTGCGGCACGAAATACTCCTCTATATTCATAATACAGGCTTTTATACACGCATACTATAAGGATTTGTWAATTCTCTGAGAACACAGCAAAGCGTAGAGCCAAAGAGTGAAAGACACCAGATATAATTAGCAATAGTTTTATTAGCATTCTTCCCAGCATGGTCTATCCCTCGCTCCRGCGGAGCGGGTGTCACCTCCCACTCCCCAGCGTCCCGGCAGGGTCAGGGCCCGCAGGTAACACGCTCACTCCCTATTCACCGGAGGGGCTCCTGCTCCTGCAGGCAGGCAGGTGTGGAGCCCCTTCCCCTCGTTGCCAGGGAGAGGTGACAGCCCACCGACACCCGTGGCGCCGCTCGGGCGATGCTTCCCCGCCCGGCAGGGCAGAGCTGGCGGGCCGCCGGCTGTCCCGGGCACGGCGGGACCGCGCCCCGCCCCCGCTGCCGGTACTCACCGGTGACACAGATGGACTCCAGCATGGTGCTCCGCCGGCCAGCGCCGCCGCTCTGCCSCGCCGCCTGCCCCCTGCGCGGCGGGCTCCCGGCTCCTGGGCGGGGAGCCCTGAGGGGAGGCAGCGGGATGTGCCCGCCTCGCCGCCTCGGCGGATCCGGGGGAGCGCGGCTGGACCCGCGCCGGCAGGCGGGAGCCGCGCCGGCAGAGCCCCCGCCCGCCCGGCCCTGCAGACTACAAGCCCCGGAGGGCTCCGCGCGGCCCGAGCATYGGCGGGTCGGGGCGCGGGCGCGCTGCACCCTGGGATCTGTAGTGCAGCGGCCGGCGTTCCGAGGTGCCACCCCGCCGACGCCACGCGGGAATATCAGCTCTGTATCCCACCGGCACGGTTGGTSCCGGGTGTCAGCAGCATCGGCGGGGCTACAGCGTCATCCTTTGCAGGAGTCCAGCGAGCATAATCGACGCAGAGTCCAGCGTTGCAATCTTCTGATAATTATCAGCTACCACCATCGTTGCAATTGGTAACAATTGGTGTGTTTGGTAATTATCAACTTGATCTGTAGCAGGCAGAGGAAGGACTGCGTATGTGCCGCCCTGGGAGATGGGTCTCGTGTTCGGGAGTGTGCCATGTAAAGAGAATGGAGGAATTGCATCAGGGCAACTGTTCAGGGCCAAAACTGATGGTTATCATACATTGATAAGTAGTAAATAGAATTTAAAGTAGAAGACAGACTTTATGTTACACCCTCCTGTCGCTTTACTTGTTGTGCAATCTGTCACTTTGCTTGTGAAACCTTTCACTCCTTGAAATACAATCTGTGTGTTTTAAAATTGAATATCAAATAGGAACAAGTAATTCTATTTTAGCAATCACGGTTGTGTAACCCATTAATGTAGGCATGGTGTAGGAAGATGCTGTACTCTTCATGTAGATTTAAGGGCATTACTGAAATCAGACTACACATCAATACATTTTACTGTGTAAATAATGAATTTACTGTTTTAAAACGGTCAGCACTTATTGGAGAGAGCAATTTAATTGAGAGTGACTTAGCAGCACGATAGTGCTTAACATAGATTAGATGAGTTGTAGTGATCTCCCAGGGAGTGGAGAGCTGGGAAGTTGTGTGCTGTTTTAGCTGAGTATCTTAAATACGTGCCACCTTCCCTCCCATCAATAAATCCRTATCTGCAGTGTGCTGTACTCAGAGATTCCCTCCATAGCACCATCCAAKAGGACCTGGCTGTATCATCAGGTAGCAGCAGCGGAAATTCTACAGATCAAAGCTTATTGAGACTTCAGAGAACCCCTTTTTCTGTCCTACCTGGAAAATTTTTACTGAGCTTCAAATCAGTCTTCACAGGCAATAATTAAAAAAAAAAAAAACAACCAAACCAAAACAAACAAACAAAACAAACAAAAAAAAAGCCAAAAAAAAGAGTTAAAAGCAAATACTTTAATTTTATTTTCTACCACCTCACATGCAGTCAAAAGCAGGTACTCTTAAGACCAGCTATGAAAAGACTAAGGTGCCATTTTTCTCAGTCAGCTAATGAGGAGCCAGAGCTGAAACACACTTCTGCCTAGCTGACAAATTTGATGGCCCTTTTAACTTCAATTCTTTGAAGAACTGAGAAGATRCACACTCTGTCAACGTGTCCAAGTTTAACCTAAAATACCCTCTAAACTATTTTGCTAACAATGTAGCATCTGGAACTTGCAGGCTTGTCGCCAAATCTCAAATTGCAGGAGCTGAATAAACACTTTYAAATTTAGAGAGACAAAGCTATCCCTAATGGGTTAGTTTGCTTGTGATACATAGCAATTACAGAAAAAAAAATCCAAAAACCAGTGAATCAGTTCAGGCATTGCAAATATTCAGCACAGCTGATGAAGAAATGATAGACAACTGCTAAATTATAAAGCCAATGTACCATTTTACCATAACTTCCTGATGATTTTGCTGCATAGACCCTAAATTCTCCTTCTAGAGATGCTATCTTATATATACTTGGAAGCCTATAGCAATGAAATTATTAACTAAACAGCTATTTTTGTGTATTTTACACATCTACTCCCTCTCCTTGCTCCATCCTAGTGGATGCCTTCTCTCCATCTTTCTCATCTTCCTGCTTCCCCCTGGTGTCCATGAGTCCTTTCCCCCCAAGTGCTTAGGCAGTCACTCACCCCTGAATCTGCTGCCTCCACTTTGTTTGGCTTTTTTTTCTTTGTCCTGCTAGACTTTTTCCTTTGCAGGAGCGGGTGAAGGTTTTTTTAGGTCATGCTAGCTCCTGGGTCTAGCAAGAGGATGCCAAAAGCAATAGCAGAAGGCACAGAGGAGGGATGCTGAAAGGCCACCTGTCCCTGCTTTCTGCTTTGTCTCTGAGCAAGCTTTGTCATGTTTGTTGATTAAAAGCRTAACAAGGAAAGGTCAGTTGAGAAAAACATTACTGTCTAATGACAAAAATGCTACMCACACACAAACACATATTTTATAAATATATATATTAGTGTACCTCTAGCAGTTCTGACCTCAAAGACATCTTAGTTTGCAAGTCTGTCTGGAAGGACAGTGGGGAAAAAGACAAGCTACTCTGTCATGAAAAAAAATCCTGGAGGCTATCAGTGCAGCTGGCACTGATCACATTGTAATGAGATGAGGGAACATGGGGACAAATTGTGATGTTTAGATGAGCCATACTGTGGAATRCAGCTTAAATGACACAGTTCCACAGTCCAAATGGATCTATATCTACTGTTAGGAGACAGAATTAAAGGTGATGTGCGTTCTGTATTTCAGCTTTAACGTAAGATTGCTTCCACAGATAATTTCAGATTTACCTGGTCATGCCTTCAGAGATAATTTCATRTTCACCCAGTCAAAAATACTGCAATGTCTTGCATACAGAGGAGTATCTTCATAGGAATATTACATCAATAAGCTCTGCAATGAGTACAGTCTGTAAGAGCAGTGACACATTTTATTGATCTCTATAACTATCACAAGCTAACACTGCAAAATTCCAACATATATATATATATAAATGCATATATATACATGCTTACATAAAAATATATGTGTATATGTGCATTTGGATTTTATATATATATACACACACTCTTGTTTTAACATCAGTTTTATTTGGTTCCTCCCTCATATTCACACCATCTTTCTGCCACTTCTCTATGACAACAAAAAATCACTGATGAACTATGAAAGCTGAGAACGAGAGTCCTTAACTAACTGCATAATTTGGCACGGCTTTGGGCCCTTCAGAGTGGCAAGGTCTGCCTTCCCTCCCTGCTTAATAGCTCTTAGCTGGCTGAAGAACTCCTGACCAAACAATTTYGTTGACCAAATGACTTTGACTGACCGTTCTTCCAGATATATTTCTAGAAACTCCTTCAGAAATGTCTGACATCTCCTTCTGATTCCAATGGGTCCTACACTCCTAGTACACAGCAAAGGCAGCACATGCTTGTGGGAGCTGCTTACTCATGGACTTATTCAATGGGACTGCTATTTTAAGATGCACAATTTGATACAGCTCCAGTATTCAGATTAATTTAKCCACTGAATTTGTTCATTCTTTATGCTAAGGAGGCTCAAGATTTAAACTTAACCCAACAAGTGTAAACAAAACACAGGCAAACCTTGCAGTAAAGTACAGAGAAGTGAAAGCAATGCAAGATCCTTGCAATGTGAACCTCARATAATGCAGATATGTTGTCTGCTATCACATGAGGAGAAAAAATCGGATATGTCTATTGTACACTCAAAAACACACACCTAATGAAAAAGAGGCTGCTTTCCTGTGGCAGAGAAGGGGGTTATAAAAATACAGTAGTCAAAGTAAAGCATGCACCTGCTTCAGTATGGACTGATGGACCAACTCACCCGTCATGACCTTTCCTCTTTAACTGTCTGTCCACTTCTTCAGCAATGCCTTGTCACTACAGGGATCCTTCTGAGAAAGGCAGGATGTTGCCTTCGGCAGTGGCAGGCAGGACAGGCAGGCAGCACTGGCAAGCAGCCTGAGCACAAGCTGCTACCTGACTGCAAACAGCAGCAGATGAATCACAGGTACCTCGCTCCAGCAACAAAAACACCAGGTCAGGCAGCACAGGCAGCACAAGACAATCTGCCTCTGTGCTGGTTTTGGCTGGGGTAGAGTTMATTTTCTTCACAGTGGCTGGTGTRGGGCWRTGTTTTGGATTTGYGCTGAACACAGGGTTGATAATACAGASAGGTTTTGTAATTGYCAAGCAGGACTTACACAGAGCCAAGACCTTTCCTGCTTTTCCTGTGGCCACGCTGGCYAGGAAGTTCAGGGTGAATGGGAGGTTGGGAGGAGACACAGCCAGGACAGGTGATCCAAACTGACCAAAGGGACATTCCAGACCACATGACATCATGCTGAGTATATGAAGTGGGGGGGAAGAAGGAGGAATGGGAGGATGTTTGGAGAGATGCCATTTGTCACTGTTTCATGTGATGGGGCCCTGCTCTCCTGGAGATGGCTGAACACCTGTCTGCCCATGGGAAGCACTGAATCAATCCTTTGTTTCGATTTGCTTGTGTGTGCAGCTTTTGCTTTCTCTATTAAGCTGCCTTTATCTCAATTCACAAGTTTTTGTAGCTTTCACACTTGCAATTCTCTCCCAGATCCTGCCGGTGTGGGAGTGAGCAAGCAGTTACATGGGGCTTGGTTGCTGGCTGGCGTTAAACTACAGCTCACAAGAAAAGACAATCTATTAAACATTTATACTTTGTGCCTTTTGAAGTTGGTCGACTCTTTTGTGGTGCTGGGATAATTTAGTTGAAAACCAAATGTTTTCCTAGTAGTTCATCATCCTTTTTGGCTGATTAGGTAAGCAGTTCACTTATTTCTGAACCAGTGTGAGTTTTTTGTTTGCCTCCACCTTCTGTCTCGTTTTGGAGACTCCCCCGGTACCACTTAATCATAGTGTTAGTGGAGTCCTAGAGTAGGAGCTGCAGCATCTCTGAGATGGGTACAGTGCAGGGCAAACACCAGCTTACATTNGGGGGAAGAAGGAGGAACGGGAGGATGTTTGGAGAGATGGCATTTGTCACTGTTACATGTGATGGGGCCCTGCTCTCCTAGAGATGGCTGAACACCTGTCTGCCCATGGGAAGCACTGAATCAATCCTTTGTTTTGCTTTGCTTGTGTGTACAGCTTTTGCTTTCTCTATTAACCTGCCTTTATCTCAATGCACAAGTTTTTGTAGCTTTCACACTTGCAATTCTCTCCCGGATCCTGTTGGTGGGAGAGTGAGCAAGCAGTTACATGGGGCTTGGCTGCTGGCTGGGGTTAAACTACAGCTCACAAGAAACGACAATCTGTTAAACATTTGTACTTTGTGCCTTTTGAAGTTGGTCGACTCTTTTGTGGTGCTGAGATAATTTCAGTTGAAAAGCAAGTGTTTTCCTAGTAGTGCATCATCCTTTCTGGCTGATTAGGTAAGCAGTTCAAGTATTTCTGAACCAGCCTGAGAAAGGCACAATGTCCCTCTCTCTCTTGCCATTCATTTCCTTATCTTTTCCTCTTCCACTTTGTTTATTTGATCGCCTATTTTTTTTTCTAGTCCAAGCTATACAATGGACATATAGAATGAGAAGGAAATATCCAAAAAACACATAACACTGCCTTAGCAGCCTTTTACAAGAAGCAACTTGTGCAGTAATAAGTGTAAGTACATGGTGTTTTGGAGGCAGCTCTCTCCTGCATGGTGGGTCCAGCACTCTCCCACAGTTGGAGCTCCAGTGCTGGGGGCAGGGGACCCTTCTCAGCTGACATCAGTGGGCAATGACCCAGTAGCTGTGGAAAGAGTGATGACGTACTTCATCAAAGCATTCCATTTCATCAGACATCCAGATCCTCACACTTAGGACAGGATCAATAGAGCAGAAGGGACTTTTCCCAGTATGGAGAAGGTGGTCTTCTGACAAACCCTTTTTTCAAGAAGAAGCACTGACTCAGTGAGGGGCAGAATCCAAGGTATAAACTCACTCTCTTTTTCCAGTTTCCAAGTACATGCCTGACACTCAGCCTTACTTTGCAGATTCCCGCATAGTTTGTGAAGTTAAACGGGATAATAAAACAGCTGAGGCTGTTTTATTTACTCCATGAGGAAAAACACCTTCCAAATAGTATCAGTGACAAATTCAGCCAATGAAAATAGTATTCAGTAGTGTTGGGGAAAAGCATAAGGCAAACTAGAGTTATTTTCAGACTTCATTTGCCTCCACCTTCTGTCTGGTTTTGGAGACTCCCTCGGTACCACTTAATCATAGTGTTAGTGGAGTCCTAGAGTAGGAGCTGCAGCATCTCTGAG